GGAAGGGGCGTGGCGGGTACGCCTCGCCGGAGTGGATGGGCGGTTCAATCGATAGCGCGGTTGGGCAAGACAGATTGCACGGCGCGCTCATTGCTGCAGGGAACACTCGCGAAAGGTCTCCTTTTGGTCTTGGGTTCGTTACCTCTCGGCCTCTGGGAGCACAATATGAAATTCAAATGCATCACAACAGACGAAAAATTGTCATGCTTTCAAAACATTCCAATAGTAATATCCCGAGCGAGTTCGGAAGAACGAGCTTTGTGTTTTCGTCAGTAGCAATTTCCAATATCTTCCGTCGACTGAGTTGTAAGGAATGCAGTGTTGACGGTATTGGAAGCGAAGTTTTCTCCAAGTTGAGCAAGTGCCTAGGTTGATATTTACCCTTGAAAAGTTCTACGCAACTCGCGTTGTAGTGGGGGAGCAGCAATGATGAAACGTGAAAGTAGAAGGGAAATAGGGGGAAAAGTCGCTTGCTTCTTGTAATTAGAACACGCCTTCATGAATACGTTATCCGATTATTGTCCACTCAGTTTTCTGGCACTGCTTTCGCACGAGTGTTACCGGCTTTTACGTCAACTGGAATCAGGCGACTGATCGAAGTTTATACAACCCACGGAAGCTCGGGAAAATCGAAATATTGATAAAACATACTTCGTTTACGTCACTGTATACATGAATGTATGTATAAAACCCAAGTTTCCGATTGGATAACCGCTGTCAATTCAGCCTACGTTTTAATCACCAGGTGCAATGAACTGCCTGTATTCGAGAGTATTGCTTGCAAACACTGCAACTAATGCTTCTGATTCGACGAAGCTCCTTTGTTATTTACTTCCATTGGCAGCCACGGAAACATGAATGTATTACACAACTGCTTTATTCACTTCAATTAAAGAGTTGATGTACAGTAACTGAAACATGCAGCTGTCTATAATTCTTACGTAGTACAAGAGCGCAATAGCACAATGTTTTGTAGTGCTTCGTGGCACAGGCGTGGAGGAGAGGCAACATTGCAACATTCCTTTACAGAGACAAACATCGTGCAAGTGCACTGGCGACCGGGAGACTTGGTTCCCTGTGGAAAGAACTGAAATATTCAGTGATATTTTCCAACATAATTTTGGTGTTTGTTATAATAATAATAATAATAATAATAATAATAATAATAATAATAATAATAATAATAATAATAATAAACCGAAGGAGGGCGACACATAAAATATTCAAAATAAATTATCCCTTTTCTTCGCAATTAAAAAATATTAACCATCCCAAATACTATAATATTTTATCAAGAGGAGAAAAAAGGAGAAACGAAAAGAAAAATGAAAAGGAAAAAGGAAAGTGAGAGAAGGATAAAATACGAGGAAAGGAAAAAAAAATATAAAAGAAGAAAGGATAACAGGAGGAACATGATAAACGCAGGAAGAAACGAAAGATTACGAAAGAAAGGACCGAAGGCAAGCGGTGTCCGCAACCAGAGCCCCCCGCCCGCGCCAACCACGCGCTGCGCAGCTCTGGAAAGGCAGCTCTCTGTCTCTCTCGGCACTCACGAGTGGTGATCCGACATCAACAAAACATAATTCAAAATTCAAATATCGATGTTAATAATACATCGACCTTAATCTGTCAATGTTTTAAAGATGGCTTAGCAAATTCCATCATTCAATACGTGCGCAACATCATTTAATTTTGAGTTCGCCACGTATATTAATTTATAATTAAAATTTCACAAAATTTTGTATCCATGAACAAAAGATCGAAAAGTAAAAACATCGTCTTCCATACATCGATGTTTAAGACATCGATATTTTTATAGAAACATCGATGATTTGGAAACATCGACATCGATGTCGCACCCCTGCTCACGCGGTCGCGACGCCGCCGCCCCTGCGTGGGCCTGTCTCTGTTCAGGGCGGTACGACTTCCAATCTGCGTCGTCCTGCGGGAGCGTTGGGGTGTGAATAAGGCTTCACCCGCATGAAAGACCGGCTTCTTTTTTGCTCTCGTGGTTTATTGGCTGGTGCGTGTGGACAAACAGAACGTAATGGTAATACAAGTGTCATATATTCGCTAAACATACCGTGTTTCCCCAAGCAAGTGACCTAGCGCGTCAGAAGGTTTCGGTTACTCACAGCAATGAACCTTCGACAGCGGAGACGCCGACTGTGCTGGGCGCGAGTATGGTTGCCAAGAAAAATAGACAATTCAGTTTGTTAAGGTGGTCTAATATGGGGTTGTGTTGACAGTTCGTCCTCATACTATTGATTCAAAAGTAAGGATTCGAAGATCTTCCTCGTCGAAGAAAATCGGGAACATTCATGAGAATAAGTGAAGTCGCCAATCATACTCGTCCCACCCCAACCGTACATAAACCCGAGCGCTGACCACTTTGGCGCAGACCAACCATGATGAAGACCACGAGAAGATTGTCGAAACGTCGGCATCCCAGCCTTCAACGCGGTTTCACCCGGACAGCTAAGATCTCATTACATGAGAATATAGATCGCAATGCATTTTATCCTACGACGATAAATTTCATCTGCAGTTTACACCATCTGTCTTAAAAAGTTTAATTTGTGTTTGCTGCAATGTGGGACCCCAATGGACGAATACGTATGGAAACATATCTAGTTCAACATGCTTATAAGGATACAAACGACAGTTACGTAGCTCAGGTGGACAATGACACTGCGTAGATAAGAATTTTATAATAGCAGCCGGCTGCTCTTGTCCCTGGTTTCCGTCGATTCCTCCCATCAATTTCAAGTGCTGTATACCCTAAACAACGAAGTAGTAGCCTCAGGCATGACGGCTATTTGGATATTGCTGCTACTTGAACCACAGTTTACCAAATTAATTGACATCTCTCAGGCATGCTGACGATACGAGCGATGGAGTATTTTTGGTACCAGATACATCTTCATCAAACGTCTTCTGCTACCTGCGACTACATATCACGCAATTCTATTTTAAAATGTTCTCATAAAAAAAACTGAAACTAATGAAAGAAGTCCAAATTTTAGCGCGTTATCGTTTACGAAAAGAAATCGATCCTCAATTCGAAAAGGGATCATTACGAAATTGATTTTTACATTTCACAAGTGAATACATTCGAAGCATTACAGCCAATTGAGTACTATTTGTTAATTAATATGCATAATGTTAATAATACGTAATATAGAATCGAAAATCGGGACTCGAACCTAGCACCTTGCGGTCAGAGGCACTGCAGTGACATTAGGTGACAGAAAACAAATTTATCACGACATATCACATATTTCCATCATGTAAACTAATTGATTTTAATGTATTAATTGCCTCTAATGGGGCAAGAATGTGAAATGTTGTACTTCTTCGTGAGGTCATTCAGCTTTAGGCTAAATAAAACAGTGAGCCACGATATTTAAATGCCCATTGTCCTACGCTGATCTTTCCAAATAGTTTCGACCGGTTGCCTGCAGACGGATGGCTCGGAAAGGTGGCCGGTGGGGCAACATTATCTCAGTCGCGCGCATCAGTGCAGCTACCCAGTTCATTTACGGCGCACGGGCTTATCTCCACTCGTAACTCCCACAGTAAACCAATTCGCTTTTGATAAGTCACACTGACGGTCAAGCGTTTATTGCTGATGGACCACCTCTATCAACACTTTATTAGATACGCCCGCTTACCGTTGATGCAAAACCGTTGTTTCGAGATCTGGAGAAACGTAACCGATTGGCGCATGAAGTCCGACTCTGGGTGTTAACTGGAATTTTACAAAATGATATTGATATTCTGCTCTCCTAACAAAATAGAAGCAACATTTCGACAATACCTACCAGAAATAATGATAAGATTTAATCAAGGAAACACTTTTCGCGTAGTTTTGCATGAAAGGGCGAGAAAGTACTTGCTGTTTTAGCACCACTACTTTACTATGTAACTACGGAGTAAGGCTGAAAGTAAAAGTGAGAAAAACCCGAAAGGGGCAAAGTGGTATTGACAAACGTAATAAAACCGCTCTCGGCCTTTGTAACACTCCCTCTCCAGGCAGCTGTCGGGACATCTGTTGAAAGCAAAAACACGCAAATGGGTGTGGAACGTCGAGCAGGGCACGCGTGGCAAAAAGTGCGACCGTCGACCGCACGCTTCCAAACGAACGCCTACGCAACAGCGCAATGCGAAACGAACAGAACTAATACGGAAATGTTATTGAAACCACAGCAATTATTTTTTTTCGTAATAAATATTTTGCAGTGCAACATCATGCAATACATGTTTTACAAAAATGTTTAAATAAATCTTAAGTCACAAAACTCTTCACCCAAAAAATAGAAGAAAAAAATCAACGTTTCGATAATATCCTATTATTTAAAATCCTGCAATAATGCTCTATTAATTTTTTCCTGAATCTAATTTATACAAGATTCGTTTTCAATTTCACACCCGCATTTATATCAGTACATCTCTCGGGAAACATGGAGTAATGGCTGGAAAGAACAAAGAAATCAACATTGTTTCGTTTCAGTTTCTCGCCCTTACGTCGTAAGGGGATGAAGTGGACTGAACGTGCGCCGGAAAACGGCGAAAAACTCTTATTGTCGGACTCTGTTAATGAACAAGTATATAAATCTTGTTCAGCATGATAACACCTGATGTGATCAGAAGAAGAAAAAAAGAAGAAAAAAGAAGAAAAAAAGAAGAAAGAAGAAGAAGAAGACGAAGAAGAAGAAGAAGAAGAAAAGAAAAGAAAAGAAAAGAAAAAAAAAGTGCAAGAGTTGAGCTGAGCCTGCGCAGTTAGTGCACGTGTGTGGTCGCTCCTGAATGCATGTGCCCAGGCGTAGCACAGATGCGTTGACACGTTTGCGCGTTAAGGTGCCTGCAGCTGCCGCGGCGAACGCAAATGAGCGCAGCAGCCCGCCTCGTTTCCCCAGCCTGCCATTTGGAGTGACCAGAGTTGAAGCCCTGAGGGACTTCACTGAGGGAATCAGGGCTCATTACGGAAGCTCTCAGGGCTACGGTAAATTAGATATCACAATAGCACATTATGAAACGATGATGTAATGATGGATATTAATACACGAATGTAATATTACGGTACGAGAGAGGAACGAGCGAATGTCGTGAACTTCACACGAGTGTACAAATATCCATTACATCGAGTTTCTTCATACGGTACTTTTTCTACGACTTATGGTTGTTTCTATATGTTAAACGTATACATTGAATCGTTTTGTGGCAGTTGACATGCAGAATTCAGCTAAGGCCACCTACTGGACAACGCCCTACCTACCCTGAAGCAGGTGGCTTTTGTTTACCACTGCGCTAGTTAAATAGGATCAAAGTGAAATTACGATCAAATTTATTTTAAATAATATTCCATGTAAAACATTAATAATAAAAGAAATTAAAACTGATAAGCATAATATAATAATAAATGCAAATTAAATGTACACATTCGAACGAAACATTTACTAGAACAATTCTCAATGATTAATTGTCAATACTTGGTTTGTGAAAGTGGTTGCGATTGGTCAAGAACCTGTATCATAATGAAATCAGAATCATAATGAATATCACTATGCAACGGGTTGCAGTCAATGGAAGTAGAAAGAATATAATTCTTCACATGAACATACTTTTCCCATGAATGTGAAAGCCACAGACTTCAACAATAATAATTTTCTACTGAATTGTTTGATTTTTTGCTATATGAGAACAGTTGGCTTTTTATTACTGCATACTGAAATGCATACTTCACTTGTGGCGTGATCATTCTTCAGTGTGAGCGTAATAACATGATAAAAAACAATTCAGGCTACTATTGTATTCTAGTTAAATGTATTACGTTTGTCAGAAATTGTGATAAAAATATGCTGAATGATGATGATGATGATGATAATAATAATAATAATAATAATAATAATAATAATAATAATAATAATGAAGATTAAAGCTGATCTGTGTCAGAGTGATGCGCTTATTATCTGAATGTTGCTTTGAGCTGGCTAAATTAAAATGTTATTTTGTGTAATGTTAATTTTTGCGGCTGATGTACATTTTCTCGTTTGTCTTTAATTCGAATTTGTAATTTCTAACAAATGGCTTCGAAGCGATCCTAGCAGATTAGATACGAAATACAATTAGAAATACGCAGTAATGTGTGAAGCATGATGTTTTCCTGAGTCCACGCGCACCAGGATGATTATCACATCGCAAGTGTATCTAACAATCGTTGACTCATACAAAAGCGTTGTGAAAAATGCAAAGTGAAGGTAACGGCGAAAATGCAACAGGATGCACAATTTTGATTTATTTTTCTGAAATTCTAACTTGCATTCAATTTTCTGTAAAAGATTTCATTAATTTGGCTGACAATTAGATTTAGATATATTCAGTCAAAAAACAGAAAAAAACTGTATGTGACATAGGGGGACAAGATTTTTAAGCTAAAGGATTTTAAAATATTACAGTTCATTCAAAGAAATGTAAATTATATGATAAAATTAACAGGCCGTCAAGTAACACGTTCACTTAATGAGACTAGGTCCTCGAAGGAAGTTGAACTTTTCTAAGTAATATGGGTAACGCTGTAACAACTATCAACAAAATTCATGTCTTCCAAAACAAAGCCCTCAGAATAGCAGTAAACACCCCTTGCCAAGTAAGCAACAAAAATCTTCACACGTTAGCCATTTAACCCGTCCTCACATATATCACAAAACGTTCTCATACATTATTCCAAAATCGAACCAGTTTCCAGCGAATCAATTTTCCATCTAGGTAAAGAACATCACACGAAACATCGTTTACGCAACTGACTCCCCTTCCACATCTTCCTCCGCCATCTGGCTGATATTACGTAATGAAATAAATATTCCTCCCATCAATAGCCAGCAATATGCACTCTGCCCTCTTTAAAATCCGCATTATTGAATTATAATGTTTAACGAAGATTGCTATAGCCACTATAGCCAACTTCATTTGAAAATACTCGCTCCCAACTGAAAAATAGCTGATCGAACGACGCCTCTGCCTGCTCTGCCTGGATGTCTCTCGAATTCGTTGCCTCCGCGGCTCCCTCTCCCTCTGATCAATGCCTGAGGGGGGAGGGGGGGCTAAGCAGTACCCTAAACCAGGGCTGCTGAAACGCAAGAATTGGGGCTGGAGTGCCACTCGCCTTTCACGAGACCTCTAGCCGGCAAACTCGAAGATCAGCGGCTGTGCAGAAAGAGAGAGAGGGTGGGAGAGATGATGAGAGAGGGTGGAAGATGGAGGGAGGGAGAGAGTGGGAGAGGGAGAAAGAGGAAGAGAGAGGGAGGGAGGACGAGAGGGAGGGAGTGGGAGAGGGAGAAAGCGAGGGACAGAGAGGGGAAATTTTTGTTATGATGCTAAAGTTCTAGCTAATATCTCATTCTCTTCCCCTCTGTGCTCATCATAGGGATTTTTAGGATTTTTCTACGAAAGCGGTTTCCTACCTCTCTACCTTCAGAAACAGAAAACAAATAGATGCAATTTTGACTACGGACATTACTTACGACCATTGTATTATTAGTTATTTTTTGTATTTCAAGTAAGGTTTTACTATCAATTCAAGTGTCACAGTTTTGGAAATTACTATATTTTTCCACGTAATTTCCAACTGATGGATGCAGTCGAGCCCAAAACGAATTCCAGACGCCACATTTATCAAACAAATATCATTGACTTGCTAAATGACCAACAACAAGTTAAAATTGTCACGATTAGGCATCTAGTACATCAAGGAACTTGAAAACGTTCCTGCCATCAGTTCTCCTGCCTGAAACTATTACGTAGATAACATTACCTATCATATGGTGATTTCTAGTGCAACAACTGCTGTGGTTATTAGTCCCGTAAGAACAGTACCTGTTATATCACGGGATGTGGCGATGTTCCTCCCCACAAATACGTGATTTCATCGTCTTACATGCGTGTAGTGCATGTAAGGAAAGAGGAAGGAACTATGTCGCAGGGTTAGGGCAATACTCCGGTTGACTGGTTGTTTGAGATTCCGAGCGCGTCAACTACCAAGGTTTGTAGTTCCTATAGTAGTGTAGCGCATGTCATTTCTTCGTGTGCTGGCGGTAAACTTCCCCTGCTAGATGGCCAGAGCCCAACCACCTACTGTTGACTAGTATTTTCCCCAACCAGGTATCTCCCACCAGTGGGGTACCACCCAGCCAGGACTAGCCCCGACCCCAATCGGAAAGTGTGGTAATGTAGATCGTTAGTGTGTGTGTGTAAGGGGTGAGGATAGGACAAGGAAGGAGAAGAAAAGATCGCGTGCAGGTCATGGTCCGTTTTTAGGTACTACTCGGGCATTCGCCTGGTGTCGATGTGAGACACGACGGGAAACTACCGATCACAGCAAGAGACGGCTCGAAGTCTCTTCAAGACACAGCTGAATTCGACCGGACTAAGAAGATATTGTCGAAAGTCCGTCATTATCGGGGCTCTTAACGCTACAGCATCCCAGTAAGAGACACTGCAGTGGCAACATGTTAACCTGAGCTACCTCAGCTTACGGTTTTTAATGTCCTAAACGATCGTTTTAAACACGTTTTGATTCCTATTCTTATTGAACTGAGCCAACCGAATGGAAAAAGAATGAGTCATCGGCTATTACCATTCTACGACAAATCTACGACATGGTATTGGCTGCATCACTCTACACTTCAGATTTACGCACTTCAGAACTCTTTGACGTCTGAAAATCCCTATCCTTTGAAATATAAGTACCGTGTCTATTTCAATCACCACTTATTGTGAGAAGGAACCCTACTCTATGACTGTCAACTTACAGGATTGAGATGATTTCTGCGCGTACCAGGTATGGAACCGAGTGAATATCGAGTCTGGTCACTTTTCTCCCCAATATAAAAAGGTTTACAATGTTATGTACTCAAAGGGTCAAGGCAACCCTTTTTACTGTGATTAAAATAAGGCGAATTGGCTGGGTCGCGGTTATCCAATCGAGAGCATCTTAGCATCTAAATTTTTGAAACTGGAGGGACCGATTGGATAAACGCTTCGCAGATCATTTAAGGGCCAATTCGCCCTCTGCTTTTAATAGGGGAAGAAGTGCAGGAAGCTTCTTGAGTGCGGACATAACAGGGGATGTTACATAATTTGCATCGTATAAATTGTCACCAGCCCCGAGTCAGTCGCCTCCAAAAGAACTAATGCACGAGTAGTCTATTAATAATCCTACTATAGTAAAGAAAACTTGTATACGCTTCGTATAGAAATATTTTTGCAAAAACAATTTTGTATTATTAATACTACCTGTTTGAATGCTGGCACACCCGACAAATTTCACGATGAGTGCAATGAAAATATAAACTTGTACATTTAAGCCTGTCCGCAACGAAAGCTCAAAACCATTTACGTCGCAGAGCTACGAAAGTTTCCTTATCCCGTATCCTACTTCTCCGGACTTCTCTTCCATCTTCCTTTCCCATGAGGGTTTCTCCCGTGGTTATCCTCCCCGAGCGCGCTAAGCGTAAAACCTTTCCTTATCCTCAGGAGGACGCTGTGGGCGGACCGCCAAGAAGACAGCCAACGACCCCCCACGCAAACCGGTTTGCTGCCTCAACAGAAAAAGAATTACGCAGTCGGGAGCGAACGAAGGACCCCGACACCATCTTCGGGTAAGGTGCAGCTGCGAAAAAGCTAAAGCAACTTAATGTTCTCGCAAATAGAGTACATATTGAACGTTCATAAAATGCATAATTAAGTAAAAATACAGATATTTTTAAAATGGACCTGATCGAAGATAGTGATGCTATTGTAGTGGACTCTATGATGTAGTGATTGTTCCGGATAATGAGTATGACTAAATAATTAGTACAACAAATGAAATAAATAACAAACTGAATACGTTTTGAAAGAAACAGCTAAATCCTAACATTTATTTTCTCAGCCAAAATGCGGAATATGATTCTAGACGAGAGTATAATAGAAACATAGAGCTAAGTGGAATTATAACAGCCTGTTAATTCCGACATGTAAAGAAATTACAGAGCATTATATGCGATAATGCACATATTGAATGTGCAATGCACGAAAATGCAAACGATAAATTTCATTCATCTGTCGCGCTCATACGCCGCGTTGGCTGAGCTTCGAACGAAAGCCCGCGAAAATCGAAACTCATTTCCTGCCACCAACCAGATGTCAAGACATATTTTGGCCCAGTGCTCAGAATTAGTGTTATGCAATATAAATTCGCGACACCCTTTAACTCACATGTCCTCCAAAAACAGCAACTATTACACACACGCTATCCCGAAAAGACGAACAATACCTCATTTACGTCGAGAAAAAAACACAAGAGGTCTTTATGAACATTGAAGGGGGAATTGAAATACTAAATATCGAATATTTAACTCTCAACAAGCTTATTACATAATGCTAATAAATGACCGTTTCGTTACATTCACGCAATAAACGATGAGAAAATAATTACTAATCTCAAAGTGACTCCAATGAAGAGGAAATGAAAAAGTACATTTTCCATGAGAAACTTTCTTGCGTAAAGGTACCCAACGGTCAACTACCCGCCAACGCAGAAAACAAGCAAACAGAAAAAACAACAAAATCGAAAAGAACGACACACGAGCAAACAGGCAAACGTTTACTCACCCAAGGCCTTCATGATCTCGTCGAAATTCTCGCTGGAGTCCAGCTTGTACTGCTTGCCGAGGCAGAGATCACCCATGGCTGTGTCGGCGGGGCGGAGCGAAGGAAGGAGTGAGCGGAGCTGAGCAGCGGAGCGAGGCTGGCGTTTGCTGGAGCCGGCGGGGCGCGTCTGACGGCAAGCGGCGCGAGGGCTCCGCAGCTGCACTCGCAACCCCTCCCCTCTGTCCCCTCTCCCTCACCCTCGCGGTTCCCCTGCGCGCCGGCGCGGCGGCGCGCCCCTCCCCGTGCCCCGCTGCCAGCGCCACGCCGCGGCAGGAGGTTCGGCATTACAAAACGCCACCACCAAACAAAACAGGCGCGAAATAAATGAACTATGGAACAATGGTTTAAATGTATTAACTCCATAATTCATTTCAAATTTTTTGAAGCTAATTCTTATTCTTAATTTTTGTTTTAAGTTTAATTTGAAGCGAATTCTTAATCGGCATTGTTGTCTTTCAGGGGTGATAACATCATAAATAATGTACTAGGCCTTTCCAACGCTAATAGAACAATATTGTTTAAGTACTGTAATCTGATATCAATATCAGATTGCAGTACAACAATACTATGTAAACTTTCTCATCTAAGAAACGCACACAGTGTTGTTTCTCATATCCTACGAAGATATCAATAAATTTTCCATATTTTAGAGTCCCATTTCGTACCGCTTTCCCTGAGAGTTCTATTTTTCTTTTCACCCCGCGTTCCTACTTTTCCCCAAATATCTGGTTTGTATTTGCTCTTCTTTAAAATATTAAGGATTACGTATTTTATTCTATATTAAAAATAAGAGGTGAAGAATTGGCAAAACATTTTCTATACAATTGCTCTCTGTGTGCTATTATATCTGTATTTGAGTGGGTAGCATGGATGCTGAATACAAAGTAACAGTTTTTTCTAATGCCAAAAAGCAAGAGCAATATGAATGATTGTAGATAGCAGGGGAGGATCCAGACGACCATTAATTTTGAGGAAGGCATCGTAGAACTTTATTAAATAAGCATATTTGTTATTATCCGCGCACTTTCTCTTCAGCTATCATTCACTAGAGATGCGGAAGGGGTGAGGGGTTGAATATTTTGATGTCAGGACTATCATATCATATCTGTAGCTTGTTTTTCGACGCTAAGTAGTTTCAGTTGAACGGAAACGAACATTTCTGGTAACCATATTTCGTAAACAAGGTTTGTCGCTAGCATTTATTCATAATTCAAGCAATGTTAGTAAAGTAGTGGAGGTAGGTATTTCGGGGCTCAAGAAAACATGCGCATGTTATATTACACTCTATATCATTTATGTACAATAGATATAATACAGTACAATATTATTGTTTAAATAATTACATAATTCGTATTAACGCAAATAAATATTTCAATTAATTTTGCAAATTAAAGGAAGTTAAACGAAAACACTACAGCTTTTGGGAGGGCATGTCCTCCATGGCTCCAGTGGGATCTGCCAGTGGTAGACAGAGACAGTTTCCTATGTAGAATACAATATACATTCAGAGTACTCTATGTAATGCTAATTATGCATTTCACATGGTGTTCAGTCAAATGTAATCACAGAAAAAGCAAAGGCCAGTGTTTGTCGAATTATAAAAGTGGCTTCCAACATCAGATAAACTAATTTGATTGTTGCAAAAAATAAAAGTTGCAAAACATCGCTTTCAAGTTCCAGTTCATAAAGCATTATCTCAAATTGAAAGCTTCTCTCAGGTAGAGAATGGTCCGGGCGCATCAAGGCTTCACGGTTTGCGACGTGCTTACCACACGTCTTCAGTGCCCATAGCCGTCAGCCTGGACGTCATGGTAGACCTAGTCCCAGGGTGCTGTAATACCAGAGTACTTACATACAAAAAGTGAAATTGAAGTGAAACTAGTGGTGCTACATTTCTAATATTATTTGCAACTGTTTCATGATAATATAATGCTAGCTGAACGAGTGAGAAAATTTCACACATAGAACACGATTCGTACTATTGCTGGCCTGGAACGGCTTTCTTCGAGAATCACTTCATTGACCTAACCATGCATCTGCGAATGTTTTCGATCCGAAAAAAATCTCCGATTTGAGAATTTGAACTCGAGCTCACAGTCATCGCGATGCTCTTATCCATTATTACACAATGTTCCCAAACAAGACACAAAACAATAGTTGCTAACGTTGAAGCGCTATTTAAAGGGGGGAAGAATCAACGAAGAGCTAAAAGAAGTTCGCGTCATATCAGTGGGAAACAATTCATCCAATAAATTACACGAAGAACAATCCTTCAGATTCCCCAGAATGGAGTTGTGAAGTTATATGAACTTTATTCACACGTAACATTGCAATGTCCTGCATTTTTCTCAATGCCTCAGATTTTCAAATAAAAGTTTTTCAAAATTTCCGTTTTAAGAGACCCTAGATTGAAGGGATATTTTGAGCAAAGTGATGATGGGAAAACGGTGTACAGTAGTTAAGGAATATATTATTATATACTGTGCAAAATATACTTATTATAGAAGGATATAATAAGGTGCGGAAAGAAGGACTTCTCGGCCCTCCTGGAATCCTCTGCCATCGGTGATAAATTGTCGTTTCGTCATGAGCCTGAGAGACTGCCATTCATGACATGACCCTCCATGACATTGATTAGTCTTTTCAATAGTTCATGACAATGACCCTCGTGACATTGACGACTAGTCATTTCAATAGTTGAGTCCTTTTGCCTATGCGCTCGAGATGCGAGGCGATGCACCGATCAAACCTGTACGAAGTTGTTCTGATTAAATTGACTGATGTTTTCGAGTACGTCAGTTAGTACGTGGTCTTTAGTCTCGTTTGTATAAAGATTATTTTATCCCTCGATGTGGCATTGTTTTCCTCACATGATAGTGAAATTTGGCGCCGACCTTGTTGTTGACTTGCGAGGGATTTTCTCCTGCATGTATCTCTCCCAGCGACGGACCGTCCCTGCCACGGCAAACTCGAAGCTCCCAACTTGTTCCCGAAATGTGTGGTGCTGTAGTCCATGAGTATGTGTGTGTGTGAGACAGAGGGGGGAGGAGAGAGGAAAGGACGAGGAAAATATCGCGCGCAGTGACCATTTTGTTGGGGTACCATTCCAGCAGGCGTCCGGTGTTGTTCGGAGAAACATTGGGGAAAATATTGATTAGAGTAGTCGGCCGCAAGAATTCTCATCGAGAGAACGCTTTCATCCGTCATTTGAAGAAGTCCAAACCAATTCAAAAGGGCTCGCGTTGCGAATCTGCAATTATTTTGACATCCAGAAATATAAATTAATTACTCATACAGAAGAAACAATCGTCAATAAATCATATCTGTTAGAGTATTTGTAGCACGTTATACAGGCAAGCAAGGATAGTTTCGCAAGCGAGGATATGTAGATTCCGACTGATTCAACTATCAGCGATCAAACCTTGTTAAATTAAAAGATATATAAATTAAACATCAAGAGCTGGTCATCCAATATATTGCTTTTATGAATGCATAAAAATTAAGTTACAAATCTATAATATTTTGTAATTTAAATATTGTAGTTGTAACATAAACACATAAACGTTTGTGCAAATTTATTTTAGAGTAAATAGCATAAAATGTTTGTAAAAATTATAATAATCACAAATTCAACAATCAAGATCTACGTTCTAAATAAAGATAAATATTGCTGCTTAACAATGATATAAATTCATGGGACCACGCTAACGCAGCATTGCTATTTAGGCAGTTTACGACCACAGAAATTCAGTGTAAGTCACAGGTAAGAAAAATAATATAAAGAATTATATTTTTAAAATATTTTCGACTCTTACTTGCATGCTGTTTTTGTGGAACGGATACTTATTATTAGCACCTTGCTCTTCTTGAGAAAGGAATTTTAATAAAGATACATGCCTTGGTTTTGATGGAAATCAAACCTATTTATTACGGATCTAATAACACAAGTTCGAACTTCAAACCTCCAGTCCATGACGAGAATCTCTGGAAAGCGATAGAAACAGGATTTACTGTACTACAAATAATGCATGTATGCATGAACAAATCCCGCCATTTCAGATATATTTCCCTAAAATCAGTAAAACTTCTAATATTTCTAAAAAAACTGTATTAAATTATGTAAAGTTCAAATATTGATAAATATATTACATTAAAAAACAAATCTCTAGTTCAGTACTGAAGGGATAGAACAAGTTCGAAAAGAAATTGAACTTTAAATTTAAAATTTCGCGAAAATAGCTAATATTTTGAAAATAATGTATTGAGAATGACTTAAAGATAGATTGTATCAGAGTTAATCAACAATAGGACCTATGTAATTATTTAAGTGTATTTTGCTCTATTCAAGAAAAAAGAATGAGCTGTTTTTGAGAAAATAATTGTTTAGGAAGTTCCCTATATTTCATGCACAACTATGTGAAAACTACTCATATTTTCGAAAAATTGCACATGACATGAAGACCTGCCTTTGAGAAACTGATTTCATTTAGACATTCTGTACTTTTCCATTTCTCGATACAAAAATTATATCTGCACCATTTTTACCTTATTGAAGTTGAGAAAAAATTATTTAATGATTTCGAGTCATTTTTTTTTTATAAAATATTGTTAAGACTTCATGCTAAGAATCCCCCAGAAGCAAAATATCCGTTTCAAATTGGCAGGGCATGAGTTTGAGCAGAACGTCCATCGATAGTATAAATTTTAGAGGAAAGCTTTCTGAACGTTGCAGCACCAGCGGTGTTCGCAGATGGACAGGCATTTTACTCTAAACCGTTCGGTATCAGGTACCCACAAAACGTGTATTTTGACTTCAACATGATTAGAGTTCATTACTATAGATTTACTATTAAAAAAATGACGGGAGATCCTAGGTTCTAGTCCCGACAGTGGCAAGAATTTCGACACTAACTTGTCAGCATTGTCGAATTCAGTCCCTGTCTGGAGAAGAATTCTAGAGGCCAGCTGCCCTGATCGGTAGTTTTCCATAGTTTCTCCGATAAACCAGTCGAATGCCCATAACAACCGGGCACGAACCACGCGCGATCTTTCCTTCCTCTTCCTTGTCCCATCTTCACCCCTTACATACACTTCCACCAACATGCACTAAACTACCATACATGCCGGGAGACCAGTCGGAAGCTTAGAGCTTGCTCCGG